TTCTTGATGTACCATGTCGAGCTGAGGAAGGTCAGACACCAGAGGAGCATTTCGGTCTTCCCGGACAACTCGAGATTGTTGGGGCTATGCCTGTATGCGGCATCAGCCATGCTGAGTACGAGCTAGAAGAGGCTGTCACTCACCGGATGACGTGCTGGTGATACTCGATGACATCCTCAATGATATACTCAGGTAGGACGCGGAACGCTGCCGGGACTTCCTTGGGTAGCGGGAGGCTGTTCGACGTTGTTAGCTGGAGGCACAGCACAGATACACTCCTCACGCACTCGATGGGAGGGTTGGGATGCTTCTTGCGCGGGTCGACGAATCGGATGACCCAAGTCGAAACGAAGTTCACGAACGATATCGTGCGGAAGATGAGCTCTGGCTCGCCCAGTTGAGCTTCATATGCCTTCTCTGCCGCGTAGATCGCATCTTGTTGTGCTTTCGCCTGGTTGATCGCAGCTTCGGTCTGCGCTTGACCAGGAGTCTACGTATCTGCGTCAGCACACGGAAAGCAATCACGCTCAGCAGAATGCTCACGCCTCTCCAGGACTGGTCCCCGTTCAAGAGCTCCAGGTGCCGTCGTAATTCATCGTACTGCTTCCCCAATCCTTCCATGACGTTGACGATCTTCTGCTGCCCGATGTGGCTTGCAGCAAGCGTGAGGTAGAAGATCTCGGTGATGAAGTTGGGCGGTCCTGTCCAAACCAACATGAGCAAAGTATACAACAACGAATATAAGGATAGGCACCCGTCGCTGGCTCCTGTTGCTGACGCCATTCGTCGGCCTCGGTATTGGTAGCATTGATACGTGTCTCGTCACTGAGGTCGATCCGTGAGGAGTGCGCATAGTATGCGTTATCAATACGATCCATCTATAAACTATTATGAGCGACCCAAGAGTGCTACATTCTTCGGCCGTGACATCGCCTACCTTGCTGTATGAAGCATCCATGAACGGCTCACAAAACATAAGGAGAATGATCTGCAGATTCATCATGAAGGAATCCGTTGAGACCGTAGCTGGATCGACCTAGGTCCGCCGTAAGCATCGTCAGTCATAGACTTGTTATAAAATTCCAGCCGACCTGCATGCCAGCGCGCTTCCGGTTGATGTTGATGGCTCGTGCAAAGTATTGAAGGACGCCCTCCCTAGACTCCGCAGAGGCGCGGACCAAGGAGTTGAAGATTTGGAACAAAGATGACTGTAGAAGGTCAGAAACCTTTGTATCATCGGTGTACTGGGAAGACCAACCTGGACAGTCTTGAGCGTTCCGCGAAGACTGGCCGTCGCAGAGCTCATCTCCCCTTGTGGCCGTGTTTCGTGATTTGAGAAGTACGTCTTCGCAATGGATGGCTAGGGGGCGAAGGGTCAAATGGTATCTTGGAGATATCTCTATCCAACTCACCCATTCCCGCGCGAATACTCCCAGTGAAAGCAACGGGCCAAGCAAGCTCGACTTTTCGAACAGCGGCGCAGGCACGTTCTCAGGATTCCACTGGGGCAACCTAGTGATCATGGCTGCAATCGGCTTGACGCTGATCAGCGCCTCCAAGCCGCTGACGACGCTGCGCCATCCGTCGTTCGTAAAACCCTCCAGGACGCTAGGGTGGAAACAGAGCTGCACGACCACCGGGCCTAGCACGCCGTCGATCTCATTGTCGGGCTCGAAGCGTCGTGCAAGATCTTGCAGGAACTGCTCGATTTCCGAACCATCGAGTAGTGTCTGAGACGCCGATGTTGCAAGGTATGGGCCCGACAGCGTCGACAAAGACATGAGCGACGGAACGAGTTCCGCTGGCCCGAGGAGCTTCCCGGGGGGTTGAGGGAACATTTCTGGTTCCTGGAGGGTCAAGCCAGTGTAACTAATGATCAAATCGCGCAGCTTGTCCAGGATCTCTAAGGCCTGTTGTTGTTCTAGCGGGATATAGTTCTGTAAACCGTTTAGCGTGCACCCAAATGTCCCTCCGAAACTATAAGGCGAACCTTCCTGGGCAGCCCAGCTCTGACCGAGTTCAAACGTTTCCAGCACTTGACTAGGTACTCAGTTACGGTCTGTTGTGGTGGTAGCGATGCCAACACGGGCAGATATTCAAGATCGTCACTGCAAATGTGTGAGACTTGGAAGGGACGCGCAGCTGCCAGTGTACATACGACATTGACTGTGGGTCCATCTCCAGACGTGCGATCAGAGTCCGGTCAGCAATCTCGGAGCTGAGCTGAAGTGATACTCCTTGACGGATGATTTCAGTGGGTATTTATGCGTGCGTATGCTGTGATTTGCGTACCTTCTCCTTGCAATTCTTCCGCTAAGGACTTCAGCCACACCACTTCATATCCCGTCCTCTCGGCGACTTCTTTCTACGGACACCGTCAAATCGAAGCACTGCGGCACGACGCGACATCGAACGTACCTTGAGTGTGACATTGAACACATTGGAGATAGTTTCATCCTCCCAAGTGGGCAGATCGAGATGCACGGGCGCGGCTACAGCCGGTGCCTTCTTCTTTATTGGCACAGGCGAAGGCGCAGCGGCGACCGGCGGTGCTGGCCTCTTTTGCACAGCGGGTGCCCGTGGGGGAGGTGCAGGCTTAGGCTGGGGTGGCGTGGGCGACGGAGCCGGCGAGGCAGAGGTGGACGCGGTGGGGGTGGTGCTCGCGGACGCGGCCCCCTGCAGCTTCGCGAGCCGCTTCAGACGGATCTGTTACCCATGTTCAGTATCTCTCTCTGGTATGTTTCGTTGAGTGCTCGTACCCGGTCAGCGTCTTCCTGAGGCGTAGTACTCATGGTGGTGGGGATGGTGGTGGAAGAAACGAGGTGTACTCGATCGCGCTGCCGCTCGGGATCAGAGTGCAGTAGACAGACGCCCGCTTTACGCACTCCGCTCGCGTCGCGGTCCTCCTTGTCCACTCCCACCGCCTGCTGGCTCTGTTCATTGTCTCTTAGCTCCCCCTTCTCTCTACGCGGGCGTCCGACCATGTTCTTGTTCTCACGCGTCTTGGCGACGACACGGATGTTCTCGACGTCCGCGGTGGCACAGTTCCCGAAGCTGAAGTCTCACTCTGGCGCGAAGAAGCGGTGGAGGTCAATAGCGTCGGGCATCTTCAAACGCGTACGTGCTCTTTGGTGCATATCTTTGTGCATATCTCTTTAACAAATAGGTCACATCCTCAGGGGAAGGCAGGACATAAACATTTGAACGTAAACAAGGACGCTGGGCGGAAAAACGATCTGAGCCAGACGGCGTACTCTCATGGGTCACAAACGACACGGCTGAAGAAGCTCCTACCGTACGGTTCGCCCTGAAGAGACACCAAACAGGCCTTATTGCAGGTCGCTTCAGTTGTGGTGAGTTCTTTCAGTCAACCTGCTTCTCTTTCACCTGACGTGTCTAAACGATCTGGCCATGTAGATGTATCTATACCGTAGCTTACGCCGAGTCGTCTAATACTCAGCGATGACTACGTCGCGGATGGGTATCACTCGATGTCCACATCAACCTCGTCTCTTGCGTTACTCTCGCTTCGGCCTTCTTCAAGCTCCGGCGCCTCTCCCCCGGCTGGGACCTTCGCTCCGCCAAAGAAGGCACGAATGTCCTGCTGTTTAGGATCGTAGCCTGCACTCCCGACTCCTCCTTTCTGGCGTTTCTGAGTTGCCAGATTAAGCAGGTGGACACATTGTTGTATGCGACGAGACTTACCACGGCGTCTAGGTGCTCATGGCGGTTGAAGTCCGTTACCCGTACTTGCAATTTCGGAGGGTCATTATCTGGAAAGTCAAGCGGCTCTCCCTCCTTGGCACCCTTGAGACAGGGATCAGTGCTTAGCAACGTAACGTGGAAAGCTGGCGATACCTTGACGTCGACGGTGACCCTAGTCCATGCTGTGTTCTGCAATCCCCTGAACTTCTCTCCCGGATGGACTCCGCTCTCATCCTTCATGACCAGTGCAGGGACGAGCTCGCTAATGCACAAGCCATGGCTCGCAATAGCGATGTGGACGCCCTTCTTCCCCTCCCTCGCCGCGCTCCAGACGTGTGGCATCACGAGTTCGTCTATCGCTTGCTTCGCGCGCGAGAATAAGTCGTCCAGGCTCTCTCCTTCAGGAAACTTCTGCCAGCGCTCGTGGAGCACAGGATACAGCTGCTTGGCGAAGTGCTCTTCCAGCGAAAGGCCGGCGGTGTGGCCCCACTGCCACGGTTGGCCTTCAGCCACACCCCAGTGTTGCTCGCGCAACAAGAGCGAGGTCTCCAGAGGTGGCTTTGGCTCGGATTGTGCTTCCTGGACAGCTTGGCCGGTCCACAGGGCGCGTTTGAGCGGCGAGGCGTATACGATGGCGAAACGGGTATTAGACAAGGACTTTCCGACCGCTTTCGCTTGCTAAACCACCCCATCAGTGAAAGTGACCAATGTTATATCATTCAACCACATAGTGGGACCTCACGTTCATTCCTAGGTTCCATGGTCAGGTAAATGCTTAGAAACACATGCGGGGTAATACATGTCAGTACTCGCCGTGATTAGATAGCGGTGCATCCTTCCATCCTGCCCATACGCTACGCTGAGCTCAACGTCAACTTCTGCGCTTTAATGATCCAACATCGTTAGTACTTGCCAGGTTATCCGTAGACTCTCCATGTCTGATCTACATCGCAATCGTTAAATCCGTTGCGGTACTACTTCGGCTACGAGACCGCACTCACAAAGGTCACGGTAAGTGTCGGGGCGGCTTCGGTAGACATGGTGGTCGGTTCCAAGTTGTGTGATACGGACTGGGGCTGTGGTTTGCATTATATACCGATCACAAGTTAACGCACGTCGGAGGCGTGCCGGACTCCGAGTCAGAGGAAGACAGGGCGGTGATCTCATAGAAGTCCTACGTGTGCATTCTATGCGCATCCTCTGGCCATACCGCCGTGATATTTTGTTAGACACATGTGGGGGTATCCAAAGCCGCATAAACCCTATAAAAGATGGCGGAACAGATGCAAAAAAAATGAGTCGGCCCAGGATCGAACTGAGGACCTTCTGTGCGCCACGAAACACTCGGTTCAAACCTGGAACTTGTTAGACAGATGCGATAACCAACTACGCCACCGACCCATGAGCGCTCAGTTGGTTGTAAATATATTATACATTTGCAATTCATGTTGAGCGCCTCTCCAGCTGTTACGCGAAGGTTCCTGTGTTCCTTCCTTTTGAGGGAGCTCTGTCAGGACGCTGAGACTTGTCCTCTTCCTCATCCTCGACCACTTGGCAGGCTTGCGCGTCCTCCTTCTCAACGGTGGACGCGCGTCCCCGAGATCGCGTTATAAATCCGCTTTGTACTCTCCAGAGCCTCTCATTCATACCACCACGTTCACCACTACCCCTCGCACCATCCTCAGTCTACTCAAGCCCATCTACACGCCATGTCCGGTTCTGCCACTCCTGAGCGCGACCATCAGCTCCTCGACATCGGGCAGCAATGCTCGGAGGCGTCTTGTCTCGTGGTCGACTTCTTGCCCTTCAAGTGCCAACATTGCAGCCACGCGTACTGTGGTGACCACTTCCTCCCGACCGCCCACCACTGCGAGAAGTACGATGCCGCCAAGCTCGACCGCATTGCCCCATCTTGCCCACTATGCAACACCCCGGTTGCAATCCCTCCTGGCCAGGACCCCAACATCCGCATGGAGCAGCACATCAATACGCAATGCTCTGTCATGACGGGCAAGTCCGCCAAGGCGAAGTCTACGCCGACTTGTGCTCGTCCGAAGTGCGGGAAAGTGTTGTTCGCACCTATACGGTGTGATGTGAGTCAACTTGGAAGCTTGTGTCTCCAGGATGCTGACAGTGTTACCAGTCATGCAAGCACCAATATTGCCCGCAACACCGCTTCCCCGCCGACCACTCTTGTGCCGACCTGCCTTCATCCTCCGCTAAGACCACATCTACTGCCAAGACATGGACAAACGTTTCGAACCAGACAAGTGCTGCTTCCGCTGCCGCAGTGGCTGCTCTCAAGCGTGCCGCCGCATCGACCACTGCGCCGTCCCCCGCCTCACATAACCAAGTACAAAGCAAGAGTAGGCCACCAGCACAGGCTGCCCCAAAATCCATCCCATCGACGTCTCGCTCTAATCCGTTTTCGGCCACCGATCGGTGAGTTCACGTCCTTTCATATATCGCCAGTGGATCACTCACAGAGCTGCAGTCACACCATTCTGTTCACGATACCTTCTCTCCCGATTGCTGCCGTCGACGACGCTAATGACACCTTCAACGACCCTCCGCAACGCTGCTCTCCGAAACCGACTGCTTCATCTACCCTATCGTTTGTCCCGCCGCCGCTCTTCGGCATGGCGTAATCCCCGGCAACTTGTATCACTATCCATTCTCGCTATTCTATGTGAACTATCAATATTGGACCTGTATTGGTAACCTTAGACGGGCGAAGGCGGAGAGGGAGAGTAGGAGGAAAGCTATACAGGAGCGCGCGCGCAAGGGCCTTCCTATCACCGAGGAAGAGAAGGCTATTCTGGCGGAAGGGGGAGGGAAGGACGACTGTCTCGTTATGTAATGTCTCTACGTACTCCATGGACAACACAGGAAATTATCTATCACCTTGAACTTTTTTTTTTTTGGTAGGGCGTTTTGCCCGTAATCCGCAATAGTCCTTTTCAGGTTTGTCGCGCAGATTGCCGGGCACGCCTGTGACATCGGTGATCTCGGGTGGCCCCGAGGTGCACCAACCCAGGTGGTGTAGGTTGTTTGTCACTGAACCACGAGGAAATGCATTTACGCACATCGTGTGGGACTCCAGTTAGGGGTCGATTCCCTTCTTAATACCCACTAAAACCTCGTATCGTAGAACCCAGTCCGTCGGGAGGGTTCTAAGCCCGTCTACCACCGGGGCCCATATCATCTCGACGCTCCCCTGCTTCAGAGCTCTCTTCCCAAAGCGTGGATTCGCCGATTTACGGTCTAGGTCGAGACGTTTATTCAACGCCGCATACCAGGCGTTCACCACTTCGTTCGTCGTGAACTCCCGGCCTTCGTTCTGGATGACACGCTGACATCTTAACTTCCAGATGAGGTACACCGATTCAGAGCACAGGATCGTCCATCGGTCCTCCATTTGGACGTTTCTGCCTTCCTCCTCATTGCCGAAACGTGCACACGCAGCTCCCAGCGCCACCCCCCATGATGGGCTGTTCCAGTGCCCCCCAGCTCCAACCCAGAGCTTCCGGAGCATCTCCCAGACTTGCTTCTGGCCCACAGCCTTGCACTCGAGCAGTATGTGCTTCATCGATTCAACTCCACCACATTTCCTACACTTTGCTCTCCCCTGCAGCTCTGCCGACATCTTCGGCCTCATCCAATGGTGTCCCACCATGAACGCATCATGTAGGGTCTTCCACAGGAACTGTCTGCATTCTCTCGTGACATGCGTCTTCCTCAGGGACATCCAGATGCTCGCCTCAGTGACGTTTATACCGAAAGTCCTCTTCAGGCCCTCCTGTACTTCTTCAATGTTCCTCGTCGTGCTCGGTCTCGGAGCGGTTCTGAGCTGCTTCCGCTCGCAGATAGCTCGATATGCCACTCTCTGCGTCATCACCGCGAGCTTCGCCCCCGACAGGCGGAGAGTTGCTGGGATTTCGATTCCGAGGGCCCCTGACTGGGCCTGGCGCGCTCCCTCCCCTGCCAGTCTATCAGCCGCCTCGTTTCGTGGTTCTCCGCTGTGCCCCTTCACCCACCGCAGGGCCACGTGAGTTGGTCTCGCGCGCATACTTGCTACCGCCAGTTTCGTGAGGTGCGCGTTCTTCTGTAGGATATATCCCGAGTCCTCCTGCCGTCTTCGGAGTTCCGTGACTGATTGCATCGTCGTTTTGGAGTCGGTCTCGATGACAAGGTTCGTATTTGCCTGCCAGATTCGGGCTGCCGACACCATGGCCGCAATCTCCGCCGTTTGGTTCGATTGCTCCAGGTGCTCTGGCAGCCTCATGGATACGTTGCGCCTGTCGCCCTCGCCTACAAAAACTCCCACCCCCGCAACCGCATCTCTATCGCCGTTTCTCAAGCACGAGCCGTCTGTGGCGACCGTCATTTCCATGCTTGCGGCCTCGAGGCGGGTGTTCAAGCGGTCGTTGCACACCGGTTCCGCATCCGTGAATATCCTGAAGGTATCCTCCAGCGTGCCCATGGTTGTTACCGTTCGGTCGAACACCGTCGCATCCAGCTCTCTCTCCAGGCCAGCGACATCCTCGGACTCGTAGTCTTCTGGGTGTACACCCCTTGGGTCCCACTTGGGCGGGAGAGCATCCAGGAGTTGTTTGGCCCTGATGAAACAACGGTGCGGGTTCGCGCACCTCGCCGACACGACTTGATCTTCACAGTTCCGGCAGGTGCATCGCTGCGTCGGTTGGTGTCCGGTGATCTGGAGGTGCGCGGCCATCTTCTCACAGTCGCCCACCGTTTTGACCCCGTGCTTGTGTTTCAGGCAGTGCACAACGGCCGACTTTGCCGACAGCCTCCGCGCCGTGCGACCATCCATCTGTGCGTGGTCCCATATCGGCATTTCACGCAGTATGTGTTTCGCAAAGGCCAGGCCTTCCTGGCGAAGGCCATATTTCTTTGCCACGTTCAGTAGTGCTCGCAGCTCCGGGATTAGTCCCTTCAACTTCGGTTTCCAGTGCTGGAGGAATGTATTGATTCTGAGACTGGGTTCACGCGGGAAGGCGCCACTCGGGACGTTATGGGCAAGTAGGTCGTCTGCCACACACGCCCACATTGGCCTGACAGTCCCCAACGCCAGGTAGTCCTTGAGCCACATAACATCAATCGCCTCGTTCCTTGCCTCTAGGTTCAGGAGGCCCAGGCCGCCGCGCTCTGCGGGGAGGTAAGTATGCTCCATGCTTACAGGGATGTTGTGCTTATCATCCCATAGGTAGTCCCGAATCATCTTGGTGAGGCGCTTCAAGACATGGCTGGGCATCCGTTGCACGTCCACCAGAAACTGCGTCATGCCGCCAATCATCATTTGGGTCACTTGCTTTCTCCCTTCCTGCGTCGCGTGCCCCCGCTTCCATCGTTGTACAACACCCTCTACTTTCGCAAGCTTGGGGGTCCATACTGCACACTGCTCGACGCTGTTGCCAAAGAACGCGCCGAGGATTCGCACCGCCTCGCCGTCTGCTGCGACACGGACCCCCGCCGGGTAGTTCTTCCACGTGCCTGTTGACCGGTATGTGTCCGCCATCGCCTTCCTGTGTTCCTTCGTTCCGATCGGTATGATTTCAGTCTTTTTGATGTTGAACTTCGCCTTCGCCGCAGAACACCACATGTCGAGGACCTTCTGAAGAGCCTCAAAGTCATCCTCGGACGACAGATAAACTGTAGTGTCGTCCGCGAACAGGGTCGCTTTCAGGGTTGTTGGACAGTTCGGGATGTTGAATCCTCGGATGTCCGACGACCGGATCATAGCTGACAGTGGCTCGATCGCTAGGTCAAAGAGCAGGCAGGACAGGGGGTCGCCCTGCCTGACACCTCTGTATATCCTGTATGCCTCGCTCGTAACGCCATTGATGACCACCGATGTCACCGCGTTCGCGTACAGCGACTTAATGATCTCAGTGAACTCCTTCGGGACCCCAAAGCACTCCAGGACACGCCACAGGTAATCATGCGAGATCTTGTCGTAAGCCTTTTCTTGGTCTAGCGCCACTATCGCGCCGTTGACTTCCTTTGCCTCCGCCCAGGCGATCATCATACGAGCAAGCTGCGTGTGATTCCGTAGACGTCTCCCAGGGACAAAACCAGCCTGGGCTGGGTGGACGATATCCGGGGCCACGGCCGCTAGTCTGAGGGCGAGCACTTTACTTAACAGCTTGTAGTCTGTATTGAGTAGTGTGATCGGTCTGTAATTGACGACTCTTGCACGGTCCCCCTTCTCCTTGTAGATCGGCGACATCCATCCCTCCGCGAAGCCGGTCGTGCCGCACACTCCGTGGTCTTGGATGTCATTCATCGCCGCCTGTACAATGGCAAGGGCGTCGAAGGTGGACCGACCCTGGTGCCTGGAGTCTTCGACAAATCTAGCATGCACAGTCTTCCATACCTCG